GAGTTGCAACCAGAGTCATGGAACGGATTAAGTTCGTAACTAGAGGTACCACTGTACTTTGTGGCTGACATTGGGTACTGTCAGAATAAGAAGGAAGCAGCTATTTGAGTACTGGTGCAGCTGAAGGCTGTCCCACTGGGATGAAATAAAAGCAACATTGTGGGGACACTCCAAGGCAAAGCTATTGCCACAACAGGTCTGTGTTGCGGTTAGGTAAAAGTGGGGAAAAGACTCTTGAGAAAGGGGCAGCTATTGCTGCTTCGGTTCCCTGGAGCTTCCAGCAGAGACTTTAGGGCTGTTCAGGAAAAAGAATGGGGGAAAAATCATATATTGGAAGCTTGAAATGTTCCTGCTTTCACCCCCCAGGTATTCACATCTGCTGAGCTCAGCTTGCAGAGAGTCCCTCGCATAGCACTCTTGATCTTTCTGAGGCTTTTTCAAATTGCCAGCCATCTCCTTCCACCAAAGCACAGCCCCTAGCTGGTCAGAAACTGAATTATGATTTAATAACCATCACTGTGGTTTGAATGCTCTCTGCCCTGAGCCACTTAGCAGCAACCAAGCTTTTCTGGATTTCTGACGTGCAAATTGATTGGGAAAGCAAAGAAATTTCCAACCGTAAGGTCTAGAGCACAGCACGTCCACCAACCCTCAAGTGATGGTAGCGGAGCAGATAAAGGAGTTCTTATTGGTTCTTGTGTGACATGATCTTCCTTCTGGAAAGAGAGGGAGCAACAGTGAAGTTGGACTGTTCTGATTTCTCTTTGTGCCTGCCTGCCTGCATCACTTGACAGAGATGAAAGAAAAGTTGCATGACAGTCTGGAAGTGAAGCACACATCTGTTACATACTCATTTATAATTTGCTTTTCAAAATGGGAGGAAGGGAGCCTGTCTGTTCACTGCACTGCGTAAGTCTTTTATCATGTCCCTGGTGTTTGTCATGTACTTCATCATTCTCATTTCTCCTCATCAAGGCTTTTTCTTTGTTTTCCCCTCATGTTCCTATGAACTAACTTGATGTATGCTTCTTAAATTGCTTTTGAACAACCTGTTTATCAACCTGAGTGTCTTGGAAGTGAAAGGTTGAAACTGGCTTGATGGCCTGGGTCTGTTGGCTTTGACTGCAGAAATAACAACTCCCTAATGGAGCCACAGAGGGGAGAAAAAGCAGTAACAAACTATAAAAAAAAGAAAGAAAACCTTAGATCAGGGTTTGTACAGACCCTTCTGATATCCCTGGTTGTTCTTTTCTAGTGTGGTTGTATACAGAAAAGTTGGTTGGAAAAGGCAGCATTATGAACGTAGGGTCCAGCTTGGGAATTGGCAGTTGCATGGACTTGTAGTTTTATTGGGCGACCCTACAAAGTATTTCCCATTGCCGTCTTCTGTGATTTTTTTTAAAATTCTCAGTCTAGCTACAACTCTTCCTGATAGGATCCTGTTCTAGTATGTGTTCAAGTCAATGTTGACTTCTGACAATTGCCTGGGCTAGTCCCTGAAGTTTTCTTGGCAAGATTTTTTGGAAGCTGTTTGCCCTTGCCTCCTCCTTCCTAGGGCTGAGAGAGATGCCCATGGTCACCCAGCTGGCTTTGTGCCCTAAGTGGGACTAGAACTCATGGTCTCCCAGTTTCCAGCCTGGTGCCTTAACCACTACCTGACACAGGCTCTCTTAGCACCAAAGATTAGGAAGCACCAAACTTACACACTGCAAAATATGCAGTATTTGAGAATATAACATTTTCTGAAATGCTTTGCTTCGTCTGTACATACATTGAACTTCTACCATTAAGTCTCCGCTGTAGTCTCATGTTCTCCTCCTCTCCTTCCCTCCCTCTCTCTCTCCCTCCCTCCAGGGGCTAAACATATGCAATTTAATTGATTTGCTTGCAGAATAACACAGTTTCAAAATAAGCACGTGGAAGTGTGTATCTCGATGCTTCTAAGTGGAAGCGTTTTGTTCTGTGGTTGGAACTCACAAATGAGAGACTTCCTTGCACAGTAAATAAACATATACCTCTACAAAACAGGGCCACTTCCTAGTTGAGAGTGTATAAGGCTGTGCTGTGAATTTCATGGATCGTACCTAAGGATCAAATTATAGAGTTCACTATAGAGAATAGTTGCAACTTCCTCTTGCAATGCTACTGTTCTGCCATTCAAGACAGGACTGCAGGATAAAGTAGGTGGATTGGCCAAAAGAGAAGATTCTTTCTAATTTGGCATAGTTCCTTTCCCTCATTGATGGTACATCATGATGAGCATGCAACCTTATGATCAGTTCACACGATTCCTCTGGTGGTTGGCCTGAAAAAGATAAAATTTCAAGTTGAACTCAACTCCTTACGATTTCCTTGGTGTCTTCATGACCCCCTTTGTGTTGCTTCTTAGTATAAAGTTGTAGGTCCCTGCCTTCTTCTGGAATGCTTTCTCAATTTCCCAGTCTAGCCTGTAATCTTGGGATTTCCTGGTGTCTCCCACTGAAGTATTAGACTCAACAGAAGAAGAAGCGAATTCTCTACTCCTTTTTTTAATAGTACATCTCTTAAAGTAAAATGTTGAGCACCGTGCAGTGCGTTTGAATCTTAGATTTTGGTACATTCATCCCTAGCCCTGTCCAGAAGCCCCCCATTGTTTTGTCAGTATGTATTTTTGTTAATATTCCTTATGCCCTGTGTCTTTAGGCCACATAATGAAGATTTCAGCATGGATTCATCGCTCTCACAGTAAGTTAGCTTCCAACAACTGCATGTGCTGTTCGATAGCATTGGTGAGAAGAGAAGCAACGACTCAATACTTTTCTCACTACTGCAGACTTAAGTTGGCTTAAAAGTTCATTTCCTCTTTCCAGGAAATGAACGTCCTGGGAAATGTAGTTGGGTGAGAAGACAGACACTAAGTCTGTGGAGAATTTTACATGCCCTCTGCATACAGTTCCCTGGATCCTATGGGGGAAGCTGAAATAATAACTTCTATGAAATAGATTGTAGATAATGCTCTGGTTCAGATCTCATACGAAGCTGGGAGTTTTTAAAAACATAGTTTGTTAAAGAAGGCATAAATAGTGGCTCAGTTTACACCGTGCTAAGCCAAAAAACAAGGCACTTTATTATGGCTTCATGTGGTATGGAAACGAAAGGAAAGTCACACTTTTCTCATTATGGTGCTCTGAAGTATGTAAAAATCTAGCTAGTCTGTTTGCACCTTTAATCTTCTCTGCTCACAATGAAGTATATTTAAAGATTTCCTGTTCCTTAGATTCTTGAACTAAGCTATCGAGATAGAATTCTTTTGCTGAGAAATGGTAATTATTATTATTTATTTAGATTTATTGGCTGCCCAGCTCCAGCGGACTTCCATTGAGAAGTATTTACTTTGACATATAATGTCCAATTAGTTATCATTCTTCTCTCCAGAGATTTCATGAGAAAAGGACATCAGGGTGACGGGATGTCTCTAATTTCAATCCGTGTCAGTTTCACGTATTTTCGTTGCTAATCCTCTGCGTCCTGTTTGTGAATGTGCTTGCTATGGGAAAAAATGTATAAGGATTTATATTTAGCTAAATGCACAACTTCATAGTTATTTGATTCCTCAGACAAGACTTTTTATATGGACTCTCTCCTAAAGTATTCCTTTTGGTTGATGTTGTCCTTAGCTGAGAATTTTTGCAGAATTGAAAGAATGACAGTTGAAAACATAGCTGCATTTAATTTGCAGAAAAATGCTGATTAATGAAATCTCGGCGTATCCTTAGTGAAGACCTCATCTCTTTTCAGACGTGGGGGGCCGTGTTCTTTGAGGGGAGACTGTCTTGGGTGAATGCCTATAATAGGATTCACATCTCTTCATGGTCATTTCTGCTCCGGGTCCAAACAATGAAACCATCAAGAATAAGGACACAATAAAAATAGAAAGTGGGTCTCCATCTCCTTTCTCTTGTCATTGCCTGAACAAGGAAGGTATCTGGATGTGTTACCAAGGCATGGATGGAGACTGTTCCTCCTTAAAAAATCTCAACTTGTCAGTGGTCTGTGCTTCATCTCCTCACAAACTACATTTCCCAGCATTCCTTGGAGAAGCACCCTCCCCAAGACTATTCCAACTGAGCTTAGGTTTATAGCCTAGCTATTCAGCTTTGATTTTAAATTTTCTTCCACAATGTACCTTTACTGTTTTTATTGAGGGCTGAAGAACCATCCATCAACCGATGTTCCTCTGAAAGGTAGGATGGGTTCTGTCGTTTTGGCTCCTGGTTATTAACGCAAATGCTTTTCAACAAGGCAAACAGCACTGTTTCAGGAATGTCAGTTCCGTGCAGCAGGGTTAAATTCACACGGACTCTGATAAATGGAGAACCGTTGAGCAATAGTCTCCTTTTGTGGTCCTTTGTGGAGATGCTGAACAAAGGAATTCCTTTCTGCACATGTTCGAGCAATTGTGGATGCTCAGGAAATTTTAAAAAGATGTGGCTAAATTCATCAGTCATTATCAAGGATCTATTACCAGTAGTTCTGCTTCTTGGGAAGAACTACTTGAAATGAAGTGGGAGCTTCCATCCCTCCACCCCAAATATAATTATTCTTTTTGTTACATTTTCTCCCAAAGGCCACAAGATAATATTCCCCTCACTGATTAAAAAAGGATGAAATGAGGAAAAAAAAATACTTTGCATTTCTAATTCAGTTCCTGTCTTCATTTTTCTACTCAGCTTCTTCCATTCCGTTTTGCACATTTAAAAAGTGTATTTAAAATGTGTTTTCCTAACATACATTCCTTGCTTCTCCCAGCAGTTTTTCTCTAATATAATGTGTGGAGTGCAAGCCTTCTCCTAAGGTGTCTATTTTGTTGGGGACTTAATGCACTCTTTCTTACACATATTTTTGGGTGGTGTGCACGGAAGTTGAATTAAAGATCATTTTAAAGATCCAGCAGGGACATTCTTACAACACGCTAAGTTCACTTTGGGTTAACTGTGGTTAGTGGGTTATTGTTTTCTGGTGACTGCAAACCCAACCCATTTGGTGATTGCATTGCTTTGGGTGAACTGAGAAAATCCAGTAACTATCGTGAGTGTGTGGTGTGAATGTACACTTTGAACTGCCTTGCACCCCTTGGACAGTGTGGATTTCAGCATGCAAGTGTGTTCCTCAATTTTTTAAAATGGGAAGGCATTAAAATACAAAGAGATATTTCCGTTCCATGCCCCATTGAACAGAGGGGTGAAATTATTGCTGTATTGCAAAACTAGACTATAACCAGCATGCATCAAGGTGTTCATTCTGGAAATTAGGAGGACTGTAAATAGTCCTTCTAATACTGTTAGAAATACTGTTCCCCTCCTATTCATAATGCCAGAATTTAGGGATTTTCAGATAAACAAATGAACATCGATACAGGAGGAGAAAAAGAAACAACTCATCATAGGATTCCAGCTCAGGGACCAAGAAGCTTATTTGCATCCCAACAAAAAAAAAAGGTTGATTTATTTTCCTTGTCTTGTGATATGTTTCCATTCTGATCATAACTAATGAGCTTTTGCTCAACTCTGCATTGTTAAAAAAAAAAAGCTCTTGTTTCAAAGAGCTCTTTTTCTCTTGATTGTTTCAACACTACCCTTAGTGAGGATAACAATGATTTATCTTCCAGATTACCCAAAACTTAAATTTTAAAAAGTGTCATGATGGAACACCCTTCTTAAGCTCTAAGACTCCCAATGCAACATTTTCTCAGTAACGATTGTGCAATAATGGTGAAGTCTGAGGGTTTTTGGGGATGGTTGCACAAGAATCCAATGTTGGGACAGACAGACCCCTATCCATCTCAGATCCATGTCAGTTTCAAATATATTCATTTAGATTGGTGTTCTGCCAAGGTTCTGCATCATTCTATCAATATTTCTTTTTAAAAAATGTCACAAAGATCCGCATTCATTGGTCACACGCAAGTTGTCAATGTTCACACCACATGCTCAGGAGGTCAGTTCCAAACCTAGCATCCTCATTCACACCCTGTGCTAAGTTTGGTTAGTTTTAAACTTGGTTAGATTTTCTTTTCTTTTTTTTTTTGAGGCTTAGTTTCTGTGATTTGGTTCATTTATGGCTCAGTGTCTTGTCAATCCCAGAAAGTGGATCAATTAAATTATCAAGGGGGCAGCGTTATGTAAATACAGCCATTTAGAGTGTCTTTCAACCTAACTCATTTTTGCATGCTGCCTTCCCCAAATGTAACAATTTCTAATTCAAGTTTGAACTCAGAAATACTTTGAGAGAAAAGTGAACAGATTCTGTGAATGATACACCCCATCCTTTGTACCAGAGCAGATTCCATCTTGCATATTTCACTTGAGAAGAAATCCACAATGGATTTCTCCAACGACCTTCTTTGCAATAACACAATTAGGATCTGAAGTAACATCTCACCTGTTATATTTTTTCCTCTGTCCTGGCAGGGTCGAAGTGGAGTTTTACGTGAACGAGAACACATTTAAAGAACGCCTCAAGCTATTCTTCATCAAAAACCAACGATCAAGTAAGTTTCCGGGCTAACAAATTTCAAACCAATTCATGGTCCAGGACCACAAACAGCTTCATTTGTTCCTCACACCAAGCCCTAAAGGGGCTTGTTTGGGTTAGGGTTAGGATGTCTTGCAAAATGTATTTATTTGATTTGGAGACTGGCAACTTCCAAAAGACATTAGGCAGCTTACAGAACACACAAAGAAAGGCAAAACAACAAAGGCGTGTGTGTCTGGAAGAGTAAAACAAACAACTATACCCCAAACCAATGAAAGAACTAACGAAGGGTCAGCATCTATCCTAGCCCCAAGCCTAGGACCAAAGCCATGTTTTTAACAACTTCCAGAACAGCTGAAGGGTTCCAGCCTTCACAATTTACCCTTTATGGCTTATGGTCTTCTGCCATGTTTATATCCAGGGAGTTGTGGTTCACTTACCAAAGTATGGCATAGATCAGTGTGAGCGCCCAGTCTCTGTCCTGGTTTATACATCATGCTAAGCTTCACTTGGATGGGCTTGATGATGGCTTAGCATGTGTCATGAGTTCAGCCGAATCTGATTTATTCAGTACATTGTAGTGAAGCAGACTGTGGCTTGGTGTAATGTTTCATGTGTCGTGCTGGATGTTCAGTGATCTACCTGAACATCTATTGTGAGGGAAATGGAAGCTTGTCCATCACGTGTAGCACTCCAACTTAATTAGATGGAGAGATGAATGCAAACCTGGATGAAGATGATGATGATCATGATGATTGCATTATTGAAGCTCCCAATCCAGACCAGGAAGATGGGGTGGAGTTCTGGGTGTGGGAAGTTGACTATATTTCCTTTTTTATCTCCCCAGTCTCTTTTTGCAAAGAATTGAAAAAGTGGAGTTTTCTTAAGGGTATCTAAAATTGTTTTGGTATTTCTGGGCTGGTAATAGAATTCAATGGCATCTTAGGAGGTATCAGTTCAATTTCACACTCATCTACCAGGTGTTGTGAAGTTGGAAACAATCTTTCATCTATTGGCTGTCCTTTGCAGGACTGTGAATAAAAATGGGGACAAAGGGCCAGATAGGACATTCTTTGCTCTTTGGAAAATGGGCAGAATGGAAACAGAATGCACAGTATCTTTCAGTTTTGATCTGTCTGCTTCATTGTCTTTTGTTTTATCTTTATCTGGGATGTATCCTTTTATGGGTTGAGCTCCAAAAAGGTGTTTCAGAGTATAGAAATACGGACTCTGTCTTTTGGGGACTTGTGGGGAACAAAATGCCGGACTGAAGACGGCTCTGTGAAAATGTTCCTCGCTCCACGTTATAAGAATAGCAGCTGCCATGTCGTCTCCAGCTTTGTTTCAATGTCTGGAGAAAGGAAGGAGCCTTGAAGAATGACAGCTTTCAAATGAACACACTTAGGCAGGTTTTAAAAAGAGATTTCCCCAGCGATGGATGACAGATAGGTAGAGCTGACAGTTACCATTAAATCAGGACATTTGGAGCTGACGAAACAGTAGGAATTCGGGACCTGCTCTCCGTCTTGCAGGAATGAAAAAGCAGCTTTAAATGCCAGCGTTTGGATCTTTTTTTTTTTTTAAATAAGAGAAAATTGCTGGAGAATTAGGAAGGGGTGGGTGGGATGCTAAAGAAGATCCGGCTGCCTTTGAAATGTGAAAAATGTTTCATTTCTCGCCTCACTGGAGGCAAGCACCACCTGACTCTGCCAAGGAGCTCAATTCATCTTTAAAAAGAAGAAGAAGAAGTAATCAATCCTTTAATGTAGAGTGTGAATCATTTATTTTCACACACTCCTGCTTATGAGCTTGAGTTAGTGGTTGTTGGACCTAGTTGCCTTATTTAAGATTTTAAGTTATTTTCTTTTTGCTAGTACTCTGTCTTCCATGGATGGGTGGTGTTCTAGGAAAACACAGCCATCTACTGGCTGCAAGGCTTGGTTCTGTTCAGTTCATTCCAGTTTTCTACTGAATTAGAAGCTGAGTCCTGCATAGCAGCAAAGTGCTGGCATGAAATGTGTGTATGTGTTTATTTCTCCTATATCTCTGCCTGCTGAATTACTTCCCTTGCTTTTTAAAGACTGAAACAACTGCCCAGACTTTGGACAACAAAGTCAACTTTTCCCTGAAAAAGAGACATGCATTCTTCTTATGAGAAAGTACTCTTGTATCTTGCAATTGCATTCTTTTTTTCATGTGGATGGTTCCTCGTTTACTTGTTCCCCATCTCTTCCACTAATGAAGCTGTTCTGCGGTTTCACACTTTTAATTCAGGAAGTTTTTAGAGTCGGGTGGTAGCACCGAGTCAACCTCAACTGATCTAGATGAGCTAAGCAGGACTGGATTTGGTTAGGACTTGGAAGGAAGAGCAAGCTAAACTGGGAAGCTAAGACAACTCAAAAGAAGGCAGTGATAAAGTGCTTTCATTCTGTTGCCCAGAAAATTACTTGGGATGTTCTTCTATGGAGACACCAGAGGTCAAGCTTGACTTCACAGTTGGTGACGCAGTGGTCTATAAGCCTCAAGTTGCTATTCTGGTGTGGGGGGCTAGCAGAATCTAGATCAAGTACAAACAGGTCCATTACAGTAACCATGCACAGATGTCTGCTGGCCCTCCTCTGAGGAATGACGCACTCTCGGTGGGTTAGGTGCACAGGTGGGAAAAAGATACATGAGGTTGGAACTTTGGGACTGTTGTGTATAAAGCTTGAGGCCCACCATTGCTAGTTTTCTACTCAGATGTCAGCTTTTCTGGTTTCTGTAATGAATTCGCTTATCGAAGAATTGTGTCCTTGGATCTCTGCCTGCAAAGGTTTGAGTATCAGTCTGGGTGAAGCTTAATCAATGATACCGAAACAGAGGGAACAGAGTGCTAGGTACAGGGTTTTTTCCACAAAGCTGCTGTTCTTTCATTGCTGCTTGTGTTATTGCTGTTGCTGTTTGCCTAATAACATTTATCTATCCTGTTTGCATCAGGCCTGAGGATACGTCTGTTCAACTTCTCCCTCAAGCTTCTCACTTGCCTTCTTTATATTGTCCGCGTTCTGCTTGATGACCCAGGACGGATAGGATGGTGAGAAGTTTTCATTACACCAGTTCTGTTCTTCGTCTGCATGACAGCCAACTTCGGGGTGTGCTACACTGTGATCTGTAGGAACCTCAATCCAAGAGAATTTTCTCGGTTTCATACATTCTAGGGAAAGGCATGTTTGCTCCAATCGGATCTGCATCATCAATCGAATTTGGATTGTCAGTCTGATTCAGTGATTCAGAAAGATTTGGGAAAATGGAGGCAATTTGTTGAATCGGTTTTTACAAAATGGGGAAGAGACTTCTGCATGTGCAAAACCCATTGGGAAGCATCTGACTCAGGCATATCAGTCATCGGCCTGATTTGGGAAGTCAGTTTGATTTGGAGAATCGATGGAATGGCTCTCAAATGGAATCTCCTAATCAAAGCTTCACCCAGCCCTAATATGGGACTGGAATGGAACTGGGACACTGTTTTTGCAGCTGATCAGATTTATATCATCCATACATGTATTTATATAAAGTCTCTCTCCAACTAGATGCCACTGTGTGATTAAACATTCTATAAAGCATCCTTAAAAAAGTTTTAAAATGGAAGTGAAGGCTATTGGTTGAGGAAACTTATATCATCTTTGAGTATGTTGAACACTTGCTTTAGCTTCCTGTAGGCTGAATTGTGCTTCTGAAATGCCTTTTCTTTTCTTTCCACTCAGCTGGGAATGTGAGAAGCACAACTACTCCTCCTTCAATCAGTCATCACCAGAAATCAACTGGTAAAGGGGTTGGCAGCTTTTTTGAAGGTTTTGCTGTGCTTTGGTTCAACAAAGAGCCAGTTTAATATTCAGTGTGACATCAAGCAGTAAACACAGCCATTTCCTAGAAGGCAAACTGTTGAGATAGGCAGCCAGTAGAAACCAAAATAACATCAGAATAATGCACACAACATTGTTTGTCCATCTCCTCTAACCATCAAGACACTCTGTCCCATCCTTATCGTTGAAATTTGCTTTTCTAGGTAGGTGGGCTTCTCCCTAAGGAAGTCCTGGTCAGCGGTCCCCACCCATTTCATTTTCTAAAACCCATGGAGACCTTTGAGACCACCTTGGAAATAAAGATGCTTCTAGATGGTGCCATCTAGTTTGCAACAGGGCATGTTCTCAGTTAACAGAAGGAGAAGGAGATTATATAGGGGAGGGAGCCTCATATCTATGCAAGAAAATGCTCATGAGTGCGTTGGCAGTCTTGGGCACCGTGTTGCCTTGTCCAGCCATACATATTTTGGAGCATGTTTTGATGTATATTTTATAGCCTGAATCAAGGAATGTGGAGAATTGCAAAATCTGAATGAACCACTACTTCTGGACCCAGTCTGTTTCTTGTTTTCAGATTAAGTATTCTTCTGATAGTTATTTACCTTTATTCTGTAAATATTCTCTACAGGGCTCCCATTTTGTGGGTGGATCGAAACAAGCCATTGTGGGCAATACAAGTAAGTGATTATGTGTTGGTGGTACGTGACCTGCAAAGTTGATAGCATCCTCTTTCTCCCAGCCTGGTGGCTTCCTCCCTTTCTTTTTTTCTTCCTCTCCTTTTAGGTCAGTGTGGCCATCATCAGCTTTCTTGAGACAATGCTTCTGATCTACCTCAGCTATAAGGTAAGAAAGAGGATTAGAGGACACATGTTTAAAGGGCAAGAGTAAGAGTACTTTCACACATGCACAAACATCTCCCCAAGAGTCCAGCATGGAGCAAAATGGCTGCAGGGAGTCAAATGCCTCTCATGGAACTTTCTCAAAGGTTTCCAGTGCAGCAATACACTGGCCTGAGATCTGGGCAGACAGTGTTTTCTCTATGTGACTATGAAGCAGATTATATTCTATTGACAGTACCCCATGGCTTTCTGCAGTAATGAAGTTTGCAGGATGAATGGAAATGCCAAGATCAGGCCAACTTGTTTTTCCCAATTCCATTACACATCCGCTTCTCCCCAGGAAAATAAGTCAATGTTTGATTTTTGGCTTGTTTGCTTCTAATGCATGGAAGTCCTTCACCCATCCTGTCATTATGGAGCTTATGTTGGCTTTCTCCAAACTGATGTTCTACAGATCTGTTTGAGTATAACTCTTATCCTTCTTGTAGAAGTAAATGTCTAATAAAAACAGAATAGATGGGTTGGAGTTTCATCTATGTATTACAACCAGTGGTGGTGCTGGTGCTGGATAATAGGGACTGTAGGCTAATGCTCCTGGAGGTAGCAGTGCTGAAAATTTTCACCTAGAACATCTGAAAGAGTTATTTATTAGTTTGTTTATTTGTTTGACTGATAGGCTGCCCCAATCTGCAATGACCCAATCTATTATAATTATAGAAGATAACAAAAGGTTTAATCATTCAAAGCTTAGCCTGTATACAACTCTTTTTCTTCCTTTAGGGTAACATTTGTGAGCAGATCTTTCGTGTTTCCTTCATCCTTGAAATGATCAACACTGTGCCCTTTATTATCACAGTAAGTTTGACTGGCACTCCTAACGAGAATGGGATTGCTTTCACTTTCTGATGGTGGAGCCCATTCATTAAGAGAATTCCCTTCCTATTCCGAAAATATGGTTTTTGCAAGAGCACAGTTGTTAAGGGAATATACTAGCAGCAGCCAACTCAGAATATATGTGGGCACTGTAAGAGTGTAGTTGCCAGCATGGCAAACCATTTCTATATTGCTGCCATGGGAACACTACAGATGTGTCCATGTGGTCAGCAGGCATGAAGCTTAGCTCAAAGGAGATGATATCTTCTAGCAAACATAACCTGATTTTTTTTTTTTTTTAGATATTTTGGCCACCTTTACGGAATTTATTTATTCCCGTGTTCCTGAATTGCTGGTTGGCGAAGTATGCTTTGGAAAACATGATAGTAAGTAGATTGTAACAGTGAGGGCCTCTGTGATGGAATGGTGTTATAAAGGCCACGCTCAGGGAGATAAGCATTTCCTTAGCCCTCAACAGGAGCATA